ACAAATGCTGCTTCATCATCAGCGGGAGCACTGAGCTGAGCACAAATAAGTCAGGAAAGCTCAGGCTCCAGCAGGAAGATTGGCTGATGGAGCACTAGAGCAGTGGAAACCCGGTTTTGTCCAAGATGTGTGATGAACAGAGATTATGACACCTGCCCAGTGCTTCATCCCATAGTCAACTGACCAGCCATGGGAATGACAGCAGTGCTGGCATCTTCCAAAAGATGTAACAGAAGTGACTTCTGGGAGAAGAGAAAYTCAGACACCATATAGGAAAGGCAATAACAAGTTAAAATCCTGGAAGCTTTTGGATTATCCTCTGAATACACGCTACAGGCTTCCCAGTTAAATCACAACTTTTTGCTTTGCTGATCTACTTTGCATTGGAGATCCCACTGGGGACTGCAGGAGAAAATGCCCCTCGGGTGGCGGTGCCCTCAGCCAAGGCACACACTGCTCCAGCTGACCTGGCATCGCTCTGCTGCTGCTCAGGGGACTCCAAACACTCTGGTGAGAGACCTCGGAGAGCCTGAGCGTTCAGAGCATCAACCTGACTGACTGCAACCCGACTGGCCAACCAGGCATTGGTCAGGGGAGGTTACAGACCTCATTTCACAAAGGGAGTGCACTCAGAGAAAAGCAGCCTCATTTGTCCAATTATGTGACAGGTTTGCTGTGTTTACAATGAAAGAAAATATATTAGACAACGTAAAACCTCAGAATGCATTTTCTTTGAAAGATGAGGCTTTTAAACAGACAGACAATAATGAAAAGTTATAACTGCTTTTTCTAACATAACAGCTTGGCAAAAAAAGATCAGAGTTTAAAACTAATCTGTAATGTAAACAAATTTAAAACATCATTGGTGTTGAATTACGTAAAGAAGATGGCTGTGCTGATCAACTACTCAGAAATGTCCCTTTTGTAGTTCATGCAAAGATGACTGAATTTGATTCTCAGCACATGCCCTGCACGCCAGAACTGCTCGGGATGGTTCAAACCAGTTAAAAATCATGAATCCGCAGGCAACTGTAAAAGGCAGCCAAACCTGGGCCACGAGGCGAAGGGCTCTGAGGCATCACACATCCTCCAGGCTCTCTGGACACGCGCAGCACTCACTAGCGCGTGCCCCGCGCCCCTCGCGCTGCGGTGTCCCGGCGGTGCCCAGCTCACCCGCAGGGCGCCCGGGCTTCCCGGCGCCTCCTGCCGTGGCACGGGGCTCGGGGCTTCACGCGGCCCAGAGGGACATTCACCTCGCACCCCTCTCCTGCACTTAACGCCGCACACGGTAGAAGATGGGGCAGCTTCAGCGCGAGGTACCAGCGCTGCRTCCTCCCCTTCGCCTCCGGTGCACAAACCACCTGAGATGCCACCACGCAGAATTAAAGAAGACTCGCCTTATGTAGCTTCGTGTATCTCATTAATCTTTTACACCAACTGTGCTGGAAAATGAAGAAGGACTTTTAATAAGACAGTGATAAGAGGGGATAATAGCTCTTATGAATTGCCATTATTGTTTCTAGCACAGAACTTTGACACTCGCCAAGCAGGAGAATACACAGAGTGAAGAACATTGATTTTACAAACATGCAATTTATCAAATGACACTAATCACCTAAATGGCATGAAAATATACCTGGAGACTTCATAATGTCACCTTACATTCCTGATAGGATTTGACAGACAACGGGAAAAAAGGTTGCCTTAAGCTACACAGAATTGTACTGTGGGGGAAGATTATTTATTTAATATCAGCTCTCATTAAATCCTCATCTCTTTTGGCTTTTCCTTCCTTTTAATTTTACAACTGTTTAAGTATTGACATCTTTTCTACTATCCTGGTAGGGACTGCCTCCCATCTCAAACCACAGCACATCCTCCTTTTACAGCGAGGAAACAAATGGAAGAATTCGTACTTGATCACATCCAATGAACGGATGAGAGGGAAACAAGGTGAGGCAATCACACCCTGCTTGGCTGTCTAGGAGATACTGAACAAGAAACTTGTCTTCCGCTTCATTTTCAGCCCTTTCTGAATCTTATCTCCTATCTGGCCTCCTTCTTGGAATCCCATTTTCTCAGGTCAAGCTAAAAGGAACAAGCTAGGTTATCAGGACATTAATCCATTTATCTTCTGAGCACTCACATTCCTGTTGAAATCATCAGATTCTTCAGCAGCTCTTCTCAACCTCCCCATATTCCCTCGCAGCATCCAAGACATTTTGGACCTACTCAGACAGCACAAAAACAGGGCAATGCGCTGCTCCCATGTACTCCTGTGTAAACCTAATGTAGTTTTTGCGCACTACCAATGAAGAAGCACAAGCTGAAGCAGTATGCAACGCCATATTCTCTTCGGGGCTTTAATCATGGTTTAATGTAGTAGAATTGAAAAGATTTCTGAATAAATATAAAATGATCATTCACACTGCAGAGAGTACACTGGTTTCTGATGCAAAATGTTCTGGTGAAGGAGCCTTTCCATTCTGTGTGCCTTTCTCTAACAGAAATAAGCCACCGATTTGGAGGCCAGCGACGGCTCCGCTCGGGCAGGGGCTCCGGGAGCACCCCGACACGCAGCCACAACCACACCAGCGCACAAGCGGCAGAACACAGAGCACAAGGAAAAACAGTCCCAAATATTCTCATTTTCCATGCTGGATTGATCTCACCCGCTTGTTTTTCCGCTTTATTTTTGAAGCGGAGGAGCCAGTTCTGCACTTGGGCAGCGGCAGCCGCTCTTCCCGGCCACAGGACACAAGGGGACGCGCGGACGCAGCGAGCGGCGGGTCCCTGCCGGGCCCCCACGCCCACCGCTCTTGCCACTTCCATTCAGCTTCATCGCACGGAAAGACCTCATTTTTTAATAAAAGCTTGACCTGTTTTTATCACTAATATCAAATTTGATCCTCAGCAAATGAAGTCAAATGAAAGAAATCCACACTAATTTCTGATTTGCTTAACCGTGCGTTCAACTCACCCCAAATGCCATCTAACTAATTTTCCTAATGATATTTTTTCCTGTAAATTGCTTTAAAATAACGAGGTGCAGAAATAAAACTTTTCCCATGAAGAGAAAAAAAACGATATAAATAGAGATTTAATTGTGCATGCTAAATGTTTCCAGCAATGCACTTAATGTCAGAGCTACTATTAGCTGATAAAATCTAGAATTTGGAAAAGGGAGCGATAAAACACCAAAAAAAAAAAAAAAAAAAAAAAGGAAAAGTCAAGAATCATTATAAAGCTTATTCTCTATATAAGGTAATGTACATTTAAAAAGGCAACTAAGATCAGATTTTTTTTCTTTATGTTGTGTTCCATCTTGTGTTACGCTAGAAGAAAAAGAAATTTCACATAACATAGTTCACAGTCGTATAGAGTAATTATTGAGATGACTACATGAAGGCCCCAGTAAACTGTTCTAGTCTGAATTGGCTCAAAATTTCATTTTTCACAGTGCATAACTTAATATCCATGTCACACTTCTGAAAGACTGTCCATGCACTTCAAGGCTTCAAACAGAACAGAAGTATTTGCAAACATATACTGAACATATAGCCTGAATGAGCAGAGAACTGCCATTTGAAGGCATGTTACTCCAACATCCCAGCAATCCAACAGCTGTAGGGAGCAGATTTTAAGTGGCAACTATTTTGGGCTCTAGAGAAGTTCTCTGYGTCTGTTACTGGAAGGAATACTGAAACAGAAACATTAAACACTTGAGAAGATGAGAATTTAAACAGTCCAGAGTGTGTCTGAACGCTGCTGTGACCAGCCAAGACCCACCACGAGYAGATCTAGACACTTGCTCTCGTTGCTTCTCTGACTGCAGCTGTTCTTCAATGAACAGGAAAAGGGGAAGAACACAAAGGAGCTAATATGCACACAGCTTTACTCTTGGCTGATGTGAATTTCAGATGAAACTGTTTTTAAATGATTCAGTGATCTGAACTGTCCTGCCCATTCCTATCCCAATACCTACCTAGCAATAAATGTTCCTACTGGCGAGGAATTTTTTATCTGACAAAAACAGGAGCTTGGTGCTCCATTCCCACCATGCTCTGAAGAAAGCTGGGTACATAAGTSGCCTTTAGAAATCTCCAGTTGCTAATTTAAGCCAATCTTACCTTTCTTTGCATACATATTAGTGTAATACCCAGAAGTTACAGAGCCAGCAGGTAGCCTAGTACCAATACACTTCTATTTGAGTACCTGCCAAAAGCCTTTTTATCTCCCGGGGAAGGGAAGGATGCACTTCTTGCTGTGCACACACACCAGTGCGGCCGGGAAGAGGCTCCGCGGGCAGCCCTACGAGGCCGAGCTGGGTGCTCCTAGCCGGCCACGGGGACTCCTGCTCAGCCGGAGACGCTGCCAGGGCCAGGCCTGGTTTATTCCTCCAGGCAGGGGAGGAAGGACAAGCTCCCACCCCGGCCCTCTTTATCTACATCTGTATACACCTCACCAGGGACACCAGGGACACCTTTACTGAGGAAACCTGCCAAGAAAACCATGGGGCAGACCCCAAAGCCATTATCCAACCGCAGCATTTGTTCTTCAGTTGAGTAAAACAGCAACTAGAAATGCAAAAACTCCAAAGATGAAAGGTTTGGAGGGAAGTTGTGTTGCTTTTACACAGAGCTATGGAGACAAAATGATTTTTCGAACCAGAAGACCTCTCCTTTTCCTGCAGAAATACGTCAGCGTGTCRGCACCACGCTAGGCCCCATTTGTGTGTGTAGATGGTGCTCCTTGGGCACACAGGCACTGATATCATTTGACATTCCTCTCTTTTTATGCCAGTTCCCAGAGAAGATGGCAAACGCTCCAGAAGTAAAAGCCCTGTCTGTTTGTCAGCTTCAGGCCCACGTGTTTTATATGGGAAGTTGCTGATTAGTCGACAGGGGCTCCTCCTAYATCCTCCCTGTCATTTTTTGGAGAGATTTCACCCAGATAAAAAGGATGGAAGATATTGTACAATGAATGAAAACATTTCTTACCTTGACACATCCTGTAAGTCGCATTCTAGCCTCCAAGCCATTCCCATCAGAAATGCTATGCCAAAACCATGTTCTATCTTCTACTATTTTCGGTATCCAGTCGTGCCCACCTCTCGCTCTAGCTTTTCACAGAGTGAGGTCACTGCTGCCTTCTGCATCACACCCGGGCAACTGCTGCATCGCAAACAGCTGTGTAATTGCTGGAGAGAGAAAAACAGGCTCTGATGTGCTCATTCAGTCATAAAGATCTCCAGCAGCTCTCTGGGAATATGAGGACGAGCAAAAAACCCTTTTGTTTCTCTGGGAAATATGAAAGGCAACTACCCAAGTGTAGTGTTATGTCTGAAAGGGTTTTTTTCTTTTTTTTTTTTTTTTTTTGCTCAAGTTCTCCTTTTCAGTCTGTCATGGCTGGGGCTTTTCCTCCCCGCTGTTTCAAACCAGCGCAGTAATCAAAGAACCATTTAATTGGACTAATCCATCCAGAACACTGATATTGCACCAATTAGGTGAAAGAACCTGTGAAGAGCTGCTCGCTCCAAACAAGACCAGTTGCCGTTTCAAGTCTGAAACATGTTGGCCTGGGACACAGAGACTGCAACGGGTAAACTAGACAGAGCTCCACRTTTCGCATCAGTGGACAAACCCAATCTAGTGTACGTACGTCCCGACCACACCTGRAGCACACACGCGGCACGGGGCAGGCGTCAGACGAGCCCCGCGTGCAGGACGGGCTGCGAAGGCGGGTGGCGAGGCGGCGCGGGGCCTGCGGGGCAGCGCGGCTCCCCAGCCTGCATCGTCCAGCCCTGCCTTGTCCCAGCCCTGCCCTGTCCTGCCCCGTCCGGCCCAGCCCCGTCCCGCCCGGCCCGGCCCGCCCGGCCCGGCCCGCCCGGCCTCCCAGGCAGCCTCCACCCTGCAGCCCCGAGGCTGAACTCCTCCGAGCCACAATACACACTACACCTCCGGGAGGTAACAAAATGAAGATGTTAATTATGAAAGGAGAAGCTGCCAGAATTATTAGAGTTGTGTCAAGCAAATTAGAAGCTGTTATTCATATGGAGAATAGCTTAACATATGCTTGGGCTTTTTTTTTTCATCTATTCATACCCAAGACTGGAACACACTGGACTGCTTCTTGTCGCCGTGTTCCCCACCTGTGGCAGCATATCACAATGAATCCCTGCACTTCTAATTTATTTCTGTCTTCCAAAGGCTCCTCTTTGGCACAGTAAGGCATTGAAATGCTGCCAAATTTTCCCTCCGGTGTATGGTGACAACTGGGCTTTGCTTCTGAAAGTTGTACAGATGGGTCCTTCAGATCAAGTTAGCATCTTCTTATCACTTTCCGATTATGCCATATTGTAGCTTAATTAATAATAGCCTTCTCCAGAATGTATTCATTAAAACAGCAATAAAGTCTGATTGCATAATGCAATGTGGCACATTCTCAGCACTTCACACTAACCTTGCATGGTAGCAGTCACACTTCTGCTAAAGCAGGAGAATTTAGATTATGCAAATGGTTAGGTTCTTAGTTCAGAACTGAAAATGCAACCAAGAGATATTTACGCTAACGGTTYTCACAGAGCTGATTAGGAGCCCTGCGTATGTGTCTGTGTAAGAGAAAACATGCATGTTCATCTTTACTGTTTTCTCTTCAGATGGCTAAACATTTTGAACTTGTACTGTTTTTCAGCAGTTTAGTTTGCATACTTTCTCAAGTGTTTAATTTCCAATTCTTCTTTTCCAGAGACAAGCATGTTGTAGCTGTCATAAATCTATATATACACACAACCATACAATCCATTTGTACRTACAACCAAGCAACAAATCGTGCAATGAGTTGTGCGTGAATAAGTGCCTGTACAGTGACACTATGCAAGTGCTCCCAAACAAACTGAGGTTCCAAACAACTTGCAGTGAAACTGGAAAATGATGTGGCTTTACTCTTTATGGTGTCTACACCAGGCTACGYATGACCCTATTCAGAGGTACTCCATACTGAACGTAGATACTCGTTTAGAAATGTAGGTGACAAACATAGAAATGTTAAGATACAGATTTTACCTTCAGAAAAGGTGCAGAACTCCTCCGCACATTGCTCTGCACTGAGCTGCAGAAGGAGAAACGGGAAAGTAGAAATTTATAGTCCCAGAGTGCTTGGGACTCAGCACGTTCCCCGAGACCCAGGGATCTTGCTGCCACACTTGCCTGTCAAAACACCAACAAGTATTACAGATAACAACCCTGACAAAAAGCGTTCTTGAAGAGAAGCTTTTAAAGMCAGCAGATCTGCTCTGAAGAAGAAAATGCCTGCAAGGTTGGCAATGTGTCAAACACTTTTTATTTGACATTACCTTAACTATATAGCTGCAACCTAGTGCATGTAGTTTGAATACTAATATGATGCAATCATTAAAGAGGCACAAAAATTTGCTTCCTCTAAACCCAAGTGAAGCTTGAAGCACATCAACCAGAAATGTCAAAGTCATGAATAAAATGAGGGGGAAAAAGGAAGGTTATCTTGAGGTAATTGTAGGTTTTTAATGAAAGGAGTCGTGTCAGCCTCAAAGCTATGTCACATCTCACAGATATGTAAATAATACTGACAGATTAACGCTGAATCCATAAAAGAAATCAGAGTTATTCACTCAGAAGCTTTTAACATGCAGATGTGAATGAACATTTGGGATATCATCCCTGTGCCAAACTAAAGCACAGATGTATGACACCGAGTCGCAGGCTTTACCTTGCCGGACAAGTGCCCTTTATATCATATTTACCTTGAGGTAAATAACTCACTGCTTCCCCAAGCAAAGGACTGAGCCAGTGCTCAGTAAGAGTTTTACCGCCAAGCACAAACGGCAGCAGGACAAGCCCCAGACACACAACCTCGGTCAGCGGGACACTGGCACAGCGGAAGCAAGAAGAAACCTTAATCCTTGCCTGGAATGTATTTAGGGTGTTTAACACACAGAAATGATCGTGGCACGTGTTTGCTGTGTGGGTGCCTGGCGCTCTCCACGGAGACGCACCGTGTGCCCGGCAGGGCCAGCGCGCTCGCGGGCAGGAGCTGCCCCACGCCGAGCTGGCGCACGGAGCAGCCCCAGGGCAGCCGGGCAGCGGCAGTCGCGGCATCCCGGAGSCTGCAACAAAACCTGCAAGAACTCAGTCCCACCGACGCAACACCTGCTACGAGATGCACATTTTACACTTGAGAAAAGCACACAAACAACACCTTAAGCCCCATGTTACTTGAGCTATTACACTTATTTTGCTTCTCTTCCCTGCTCTCTCCTTTCTCCTGCCCTGCTATTTTCTAATGAGATTTTAATCCATCCGACCAAATTTGAGAAACAAATACTAAATGTACAACCTCAGGGCTGCAACAAAATCAGAATTTTTTAATCAGATGCGTCTCTTATTCGGCATATAAAAACAAAACGTTTACCTTTCCACTCTTAACTGCACATCGTTTGCTACTAGCTAACTCCCTGCATAAATTCAGCAATGACTTTCTCGAGCAGAACWCTGCCCTCAAGCTGCGGTGGTGACTTCCCATCTATTCCAAGAACATATGTCAAAATTTTATCAAAGCCATGAAATATGCTAGCTCTGGCTGCRGTCTGGTTTTATTGTCCATTTCTGAACACGCACAGAGCTTGGCTCCATCTTCTCTAACCGAAGAAGAGGGCTTGGCAGAGGGCACAGGGGAGCTGCTGCTGCTTTCATGTTTAAAGCACCTTTCAGAGCCACCACCGCTGCTGCTGGAGGAGCATCCTTTTCTCTCCTTACCACTGCTCATTCTAATCGTTTCTCTTTCCGAGASAGAAAAAAATCCACCTCTCTGAACAAAACCTCCCCCTTGCTGCCRCAGTGTCATTCCTGACCCCCTGCTTTAGTGCCAGAACTCCCCACTCTTAATTCTTCACTCATAAAACAGCTTCTCCTCCCGAGTTCAAATCCTGTTTTGCTGCACTCATTTTGCTCAGGGACTTCTAGCAATAATCCACCACGTACAAAATACTGCAGATGAGAGAGCCGCCCGGCTGGAGGTTTGCGCTCTAAGCGGGCAGTGTCAGTCCTGCCCGGAATCAACGGGCGCTTTGCTGGCGGATCCCCGCAGAAGCGGCGTGCGCGCGGGGCAGCCTGAAGCAGGAGGTTCCCCTGCCGAGCGCGAGCACAGCTCCGCTCCGCGGCCTCTGCTTGGCACGGGCGCTGCTCCTTCCACAGCAACACACTGCGAAGAAAACCACGGGGAAAAGAGCGAGTTCCGCCACCCAGGCCTCGCCACACTTCGCATTTTGCTCCGCTTGCCGAGGACTCTAAGCTGCCCCGAGCTGCTCCGGGTAACGGGGCTACTGCCCTGCCGAGCCTCCAGACCAGYGGCTCGCACCACCCGCCGCTCCCGGGCAGGGCAGCGAGGAGCGGCTTCCCCGCACCCTTGTGCTCCGCGCTCTGACAGCTAATAACGTTCTAGCTGGACGGGCCTGCTGAGGGAAGCCTGCGGCTGGGCTG